GTAATTGTTACTACAATCTGTCACTCCGCTATTGCTGTACCTCAGCGATACACTGCCAAGTGCCATCTAAGATGTGGTTACAAAGGCCGAAACACGGGTAGCCGAGGTTTAAACAGAGGAAGACACAAGAAACTCCTCAGCGTCGCAGCGTAGCCGGGGTTACGAGGTGAAGCACAAATAAAGCAGGAGAAATAGCACAAGACAAAAGCCGAATGTGAACACAGTCTGTGTGATTGCATGCCAGCATGGTGCAACGAAGAGCACAATGGGCTTTGGTATATAAAGCTGCCCCAGTGCCTGTGGTCTTTGTCTCACAGCCATTAAAATTCTGTACATGCAGCGGGGGACCCGACTGGAGTCGTGCCACCATTCAACCTCAGCTGTCAGGTTAGAATAAGGTGTTTTTATATCTGTAGTGAATGGGTTGTGGTGGTGCAGATTGGCTGTGGAGGGCAGCTGCTCTGCACAGCAGCCACATTAAAAAGCCCCCCCTGGTCCTCCTATTGCCAGTTTTTGGTCTTCTCCAGATCTGTCGGTTCTGTTTGGCTTTTTATCTGCAGTCGTAGTGCTGGAGGAGTTTAAATCAAGAGGGACTTCCCCTTAGCGCTCCATCTGGATGCGCTGCCTTTCAGTGGGCACTGTCATGTACCTTCCAAACCAATGCCTTTTCTACATTTGTCAGTGGAATGGAGAGTGCAGCTTTTCTTCCAAGAGACTGATCTTTGTTTTCTTCCTAGATCCACTTTTGTCTTTTTGTAAGAATAACTTCTAGCCTCACCTTTATGTAGCGCTGCCAAGAACGGATGAAGAGATAAGTACCTCTTATAGTCAAGATCCATCTTGCTATTTTTGTGAGTCATAAAATTTCATGCTTTAATGAAACCAGAAAGGGACACATCGTAAGGTGTATAGCTGATTTCTGTTAAGGGAAAATAGCTCTGATCCGTTCTTTGGATCAGGCCAGTAATACTAGCACAGTTCCCCCCAGAAAACTTTCTAAGCCTGCTGATAAGGGCACCAGGGCTGTCCACCAGTGGCCTGTCATATTTTTAATAATATGACTAGGTAAATAAGGTATGTTATAGTGGATGACATTGTTGACAATACCTAAACACACAAAAATAAAATTAAAATAAATCAGATAAATTATAACTTTTTGCAATTTGAACATTTTTTAATGGAAATGACAATACTATTACATTTTATTCAACAGTTTAATCAGAGATAAAAATATGTTTAACATTTAAATTTAATATTGAAAGACGTTTGCAAATTAAATTTTCAAAAATGCACGGAATAATCTTTGTAGTTTGATTGATTGTTGCGTTATCTTTGGTAAAAATCTGATGCCATGAGTTGAATATTTTGTTTGAAATCAGTTTCTTCGCAAATACATCTCAGCAAATAATCATCAAATAAACTTAGCTACTGGCTCCACAAAATCTGTATTGAGACATTGTTAGTGGTCCTGATGTACTTAAAAGAGAGAGAAGGGCCCTAAATCATATTCTGCTTAAGGTCCTGTACAACTTTGGACCAGCCCTGATCACATTTATAGGTAAAAAAAAAAAAGAAATTTAAAGAACCATTATTTAAAATGGACAATAATAAGCATACTTGCTCTTTTCAGTATACTTCAGTTTTCCTTCTTTAGTAGCATCAGCTGCTTGGTGCAGTGTTTTGACTTGCTGGTTGTGATTGGTTGATTTATCCAAGCGCATGCAGCAAGAAATACTCCGAATGAAAAAGACCTGGCAGTGAAGTCTGGTCTTCTGCTATTCTTATAATACACTAGGACAACCCTGCTAATTGAAATATCCCAACAATGTTGCCTGGCAACCTGTAATTGTTGGTTCCATGATCTGTGCTCATCCGGTCAGTAAATTCACCACGCCTATGTGCTATTGCATCATTCTGACTGCAACATTCTTCTCTCAACATTAAGTTTCACAGTGAAGAAAGTTCTAGGTTAGATGAAAATGAAGTAAAGACAATTTTTTTAGGAACCTTGAGAAAGCAAATTAATTTTTCTATAGGTGCATGTCAGTACTTCGGTCAAGATGTGAGACTTCGGAAAATGACAGGAAGCTGAACATATGCTGTCAGAGTTATTGTTTTGTCCATTTAAAGAGTCTAACTCGCTCATTGAAAATGCTGGACTAGGACATTTTGGGCGTAGTTTGGACGTCTCAGTTAAATAAGATGTTTAAAGACAGTTTTAAATGTAATTTCTGTAATCATTCTGTCTTCGTTGAAACAAAAGTAACCATTTGATTGACTGCAAAGCTGTGTAGCATCAACTGCTCTCTCACAGTATGCTTGATGTTTACCTGCGCACCTAACATAAATAATAAATAATCATTGACTGCTTAAGGCTAATGTATAGGTACAATAAATAATGAATTATTCAACAATCCTACACATGACACTAAATAATTTATTTACTTTGAATGGATTTTATTGCAATTAGTGTTGTGGCATGCCTCTACACACTTTGATGTTTGTAAAAATAAGAAATAACTATGATATGTCTTGTAAAGAAATAAATTGGATATTCTAAAACTCTTTTAGCAGGGATTTTATTGGTTGAGTTACATTCGTCCAAAAGCAGTCAAGAAAATACTACTTTTGTTATCAAAGCAGACTCTACAACAGGCGCTAACTCTGTGAAAATCAAAAACACAATGAGAGGGAGGAGAGTTGGGGCTACAGATAAGAGATTCTTCATTGGTAGCATGTTAGTTCAGAGAGGCCAGTGTGAGGATGAATTGGCCCTGTCTTGTTTCAGCAGTGAGTACTGTTGATGGCCTGTGGTCACTTAAGCGCTCAAAGCCTCAAAAGAAATCACTTGACTTGGTTGTTTCACTCTGTGATTTTTTTTTTTCTTTTTTTTTTTTGGGGCTCCGTGAAATGAAATGAATTGCGTTTTCATTCTGTGTTCTTTTGTAATGCTAAACATTGATTTTTCTGTCCTCTGAAATGCTTGTTCCTGAAACCCTACACTTCAAGTCTAAATGTGAAACCGGTCGCAAGTGTCACACACAAGTGCCATCCGGGGATTTATAATCAGATTTTATTTTAATTGGTCATTTGAGACAGAAAGGAATGCGATCACATGAATGGCACCATAACAGGTAACCACAGAGGAGATTAGAGTGCGCTCAGTTCCCCCGTTCCACAGTCTGACATCACTAAGTCGGCATTATGCAGATTCCTTGTCTCAGGCGAGTGATGTGTGTTTGAGATTCTTGGTTTTGCACGTTCGACTACGTAATGGCGGCTTGTTGATGGAGTCGCTAAAGTGCACACCGTCAGCGAGCCACCGACTCAATTGGATGTGGTCTTGTGTTGTTGCCTGTGTGTGTTTGTTCAGGCTAACGGGAGTGTTTTTTTTTGTTTTTTTGGGGATTTGTGTGTGTATCAAGTCCAAATGCATTTACTACTGGATAGAATTACAGCATAGCCACCACTCTAGCAGTTTGTGTTCAGAGAGAAAAAAAAAAACAAAACAAGGGATGGCTCCCTTATTATGGTTCAGCCAAGGATCAGTTTAAAGTGCCTTTTAGGTTTTATAGTGTTTGTTTTTGAGTTGTTGCAGAGGTGATAGATAGGGCAAGATGTGCCAGGGAGAGGAGTATTGTTACCAAATAAAAATAGAAACTGCTTTTTAAAAACAGACATGCTATAGTCGTTTGAGCAATGTGATTGAAAGGGGAACAGGCTACAGACAGATATCGCTAGAGATGACGGGAGTGTGTGTTATACATTTGCACTCTGCTCACATGACCGCCTTTAGGGGGAAAACAGAGGTTCACACTTATTCTTTTATTTACATTTTCAATCAGGTTCCATTTTCTGTGTCCCCTTCCCTGCTCTGCGGGAGTGCCCTCGCATTTACCTTGCTTCGCCGCGCCACGCTCTGCATCCGCTCTCATAAATCTTGCGTTTGAACTGTGGGGAGGTGGGGGGGAGGGGTGAACGGAGAGTTAAAAAGGTGTGCCGTTGACCAGCCCTGACAGTGAGTTAGCTGCTGCAGCACACTTTGAACCATGCGCGCTTCAGGGCCCCAGCGGCTTGCTGCAACTATTAATACAGACTTTAATTAGCACGCCACAAACACTGGTGCAATTGGTTGAGTGTCGCCCATGGCTGGTGAGGCAGACAGATCAATAGGTCTGATCATGCCTTTTTCATCAGCTCAAATGAAAGCACTTTGTCTCCAAACTCAGCTCTGGACTTTGCGGAGCACCTTAAAGGCTTTTTTTTTTATTTTATTCTTTCCTTGTGGCTAGACTGGCTGTGTGCAGCGTTGCAGATGGGGCTTGTATAATCTGGCTGCATTAGAGAACTATAAAGATAAATGAAGGGAGGTACAAAGCATAAGTCATCCTGTCAGAGAGCAGGGTTTAAGACTAGGAAACTTAGTGTTTTCTAAAGCAACCCCTTCCACCATCGCCACCTCCCGTACTTTCCTAGTTCCCAGTTTCCACTCGTCTAAATTGCCCGCATTACATTTTTTTTTCAGATTGCTATATTTTTCTCCATCTGCTTTGTCTATTTCTGCTTCAGTCCCCTATTCAACTCCATCTTCCTCCCCATCCCTTTTTAGTGGTTTAGAGGTATGGAAGTGTTCATTTAAACTCCTCCTTTCCGCACAAATTGCTCCTCCACCTCTTTGCTGGCGCATTTCAGTTTGAAAGGGGGGAAAAAGTATGATGCGTTTGCAGTGGCAATTTATTCCATGTGCTTTTTGGCAATATTTTTTGTTGACCTTCAAGTTCTTAATAAGAGCAAAAGAAAAATGGAAATGGCTCGTCCTGAGCCTTCATTTCTCGTGAACTGCTGAAATGTGTCGTGAGTCTGCTTATATGAGTTACTGAATCAAACGTTTAATTTTTTTTTTCTCTCCCTAACAGCCACCGCCTTATTCCTCACCTTCTGTTCCTGCATAGTCGCACTTTTTGCTTAACTTACCTTTTCCTCCAATTATTCTCTCCCAGTAGACGATGTTCCACCTTACTTTAAGATGGAGCCTCCTCAAACCCAGGTTCACCTGGAGGGAAACCGCCTGGTGCTGACCTGCATGGCAGAGGGCAGCTGGCCCCTCGAGTTCAAATGGATCTACAATGGCAGCGAGCTCACGCGGTTCTCCTTGGAGTACAGGTGAGGGATGTGACCTTGCGCACCAGAGCTATTGCTGTTATCATTGTTTTTTTTTTTGTTTTTGTTTTTCTCCACCGGTTGCAATTATCTCACCACACGAGGACATTTTAACAGCATTTAATTGTAACTAATAGCACAATTGCTCATTTTTATTCATATCCTAGCCTCATTTGCATGGATTTATTCGCCACAGATTTGGTTGCATATCTTCCTTGGAAGCCTGCATGTGGCGTTTGGGGAGTTTCAGATTTATTCCAATTTGTCTCACAACGCACTTGGCATTCTTGGATGTTGTGAGGAGATAATGCATCTTTTCACTCCTCTCCCATTCTGTTTGTCAAAACTATCATGGTGGTAATAGAACACAACGGTGCATATTTTTCATCATCATCCCATGCCGTGTGGATGTGATTCCTTGCTCCACGGGCTGAAAGATGGTGTTTTACTGACAGGATGTTTCTTTTGGACGTGTTATACGTTTAAAGCCTCTTAGCACCGTCATGGAGAGTTCCTCTGACACCAAAGATTGTGGCAAGAGGAAGCCTCCGTCTGCGCTAACACAGCCTCTCCCCGTGTGTCCCTGCCAGTCACAGTTGCAGTCTGCAGTGAAAGTCACCTTCTTTCCAGTTCCAACCTCGCTTTCGGGACTTTATTCACAGTCTGACCAGAGCTCAAGACATGGCCAAACACTCTTAGGTGGGATTGTCTGATTGCTATCGCTGTTATCACAAAAACAGACTCACATAGCGTCCCTTCGCTGTCTTTTTCTACTCTCCCATAGATCTTCCTACCCCCACCCCTCATTTTCTTCTCTGGCCTGTCTTCCACCAGCACTTGGCTGCTCACGTGGTTTGTTCTCTGGGTCTGCCTTGCAGGCCAGCCCTCTGCTTATTATTCTTCACCAGCCTTGATCAAAGAGGAGAACTGGAATCCATTTAATCAGAAAATCCAACCCCTCCGCCTGACCCCCGCCTCCCCCCGACACATACATACACACGCACGCACACGCACACCTCCACACCCCACGTTCAAATTAGCAGATTCGGGGATCATGGATGTGGTTCACACCTTTACAGTGCCTTTTTAAGAGAACTTTCTTGTTAAACTTACATGTTTCACAGCATCAAACATTTCTTTAGATCAGACAAAGATAACCTAAGAAAGTTCAAAAAGCAGCTATCAGATGAGCTCAACTTCTCAGGGCCAAAACGCTGCCTAAAACAACCTCGCTCTAATGTCACAGCATCTCATTTGGATTTCAGTCCAAACTTTGTCAAGGCCAGTCCAAAACTGTCGTGCTGATTTTTTTTTGTTTTGGTCATCTAGAGTTGGGTTTGTTGACAACTTTCGGATCCTGCTGAGTGGTCACAAACTGGAGGTCAGACAGTCTCTTGGTTTTCTGGTAGGGAGCAACAAGTTGTCAAGGTTCTAAAGCAGCAAAGCAGCTCTAGATCATCACCCTGCCACCACACTCTTCAGTTATCAAAAAAAAATATATATATATATATTCTGTAAGGCTCTAATTTTACATGTAACAGGATGCAGACTTGCTTAAATGTTCCACTTTGGACTTTTCAAAGTTCCCAGAAGTGTTGAGGATTTATCAACTTATTTTCTGGTGTCCATTGTGCTTATCAGTAGTGTTTTTGGACATTGGACTCTCCCATGGATCATTTTTGTATGGTCACTTTTTTACTGTTGAATTATGAGAACCTGAGTGTCACTGAGGCAGTGATTTTGATTTTGCCTTTGGTTTTGTTTTGACCTTTTGGATGAAAGGTAGATTCACTGTTAGAGTGATTTAGGTATTAGTTATTCCACTATTTTGAAGGTTCCCTACTGTTTCATGTTTTCTCAGCTTCTGGACAATGATTCTCACTATTATTGGAGTCTCAGAAACAATTCTGTAACCCTCTCCAGACCCTTTCCATATTTCTGCGGCTTTATATTCATCTGATCTCGAATGTCTTTACATCAAGTGTTGTTTTCTGAGATCTTTATGCAGCACTTCATGCTGCCAATCAGGTTCTATTGAAGTGATTCTCAAATATGCAGATAAGGCAATAATCTGGCCTAGAAAACATTCTGAAAAAGAGAGGGAGGGAGAGAGTTTCCTTTGGTAATTTTGCCTGACCTTAAAATTAGCTTCGTGACCCTAAACATAAAAGGTGTGACTGTAGTGGAACAATAGAAAAAAATACATCTTTTCAAAGCACTGTAAAATTAGTCTTAAAACTCCTAATTCAGAATTAAATATTTGGGGTATCTTTTCAGCTTCGCACACACACATTCACACACCATTTACCAGTGAGGCATGTCAAGGGAGAGACAGAGCTGTGGCTGTCTGAAACACATGACAGGTGGTTGTATGATTTGATTGAACAGACTGAAGATACAGGATAACAATGGGGTTTCGTGAGTCCCGCCTGTCTGGAACTCAGCTGCGCCTGTGTCTCCTTTGTGTTGCTCCAACTGTGCTCTACACACACACACACACACACACACACACACACACATCGGCAGTTCTCCGCCGTGTTTCAGAACATTTTCCTCTCACGCTCAAAGCCATTTCAGCTGTATTCCAGGTGTCCAGTAAAACATCTCAATTAATTGAGTGTCCTTAATGCAGGTGATAAAACCCAAGATGGCAAATGCCTTTGTTTGTCACTCTGACGATGACTAATTGCACTCGGGTTTCGTCTGCCCATTAGGTACCTGATCCCGTCGCTAGACCGATCCCATGCTGGCCACTACCGCTGCATCGTGAGGAACCGAGTGGGTGCCATAATGCAATGCAGCACAGAGGTGCAGGTTGCCTGTAAGTGATGGCTTATTTTCATACATCTGGCAGATTGAGGCGATGGCGCTGTTCTCGTGAAAGTACAGCACGTCACTGGGCTTAATTAAAGGAGAACGTTGATGGTGATTCTTTCTTCACTCCTCGTTTCCTGTGGTGTTCACATTTCTTTTTATTTTCTCTCACTTTCATTTATTTTTTATGTCTACCAGATATGGGCGGATTTGTGGAGGGCGAGCGATCTCAAACTGTTTCCCAGGGCGAGGGAGCTCTCATCCACGCACCGCGGATACACAGTTTCCCGAGGCCCCAGATAACGTGGTTCAGAGACGGGCGCAAGATTCCCTCGAGCAGCCGCATGTGAGTCCGCATTCCACCGCAGTTTGTTTGCCGTTGGATTGAGCAGAAGTTGTGTGGGTTTGGATGTGCTTGAGATGTTGGTGAATTTTTGAGCTGCTGTAGCAGAATTATTTTTTTTTTTTTCCTTCAGAGAGCTCCAAGAAGTTCAATACTGCTCGCTGATTTTCTCCTATTCCCCCTCACGCCATGAACCAAGTTTAGCAGAATAACTGATGAGCGAATGTTGGCACAAGCCTAGTGTTCATCACTGAATCACCTCTCAGTGATAAAGTGGGTTATTATATCCCCCCCTATTGACTTTGCAGGCGGAATGATTGAAGGGTAGACATGGATCAGGCAGCAGGGGAACCAATTAGACAAAATTCGACAAAAGGCCTCAATTGATGATATGATTGACTGACAGCTCTCGCCCCGGTTGGAGTTGTGAGCGTGTGATTGGTTGTGTGCGTCTGTGCGAGGGGTAAGAATCTGTCAGAGGCGGAGAATACGTCAGGGGTTCGGTGTGTGACTCTTCTTGTGCAGTTAGCGTCTTTTGAATTTCCACCTTTTTAGATATGCAATTTTCCTGAGGCGCCACTGTAAGGTAATCACCTGAGATTAATTTTGTCATCCTGACAAATAGAGGAAGGCAGTCCACCAGTCCTCGGAAACCACCTCCTTATTTATTATTCAACAGCCAGCTGTACTGTGTCGTTGCTGTTGTGAAGACTTTTTACCCCGAGCTCTAGGCTCTTGCTCGAGGTATAGATCGGTACATGGGTTTTCTTCCTGCGGATTGTAGGCCAAACGGAAAACAAAAGGCAAGAGGGAAGGGAAAACGTAGACAAAGCTACTTTCACCAATCTTTATCCAATTCCAGAGCTGCTAAGTACACAGTTGGCTTTTACAAGCAGTAAAACACTGTGACGATGAGAGGCACTGAAAGGACACTCAGCATTTACCGCTTTCTTGCTTGCTTAGTGTCAGGCCACATTGATATTCACAGGTGTGTGTCTGCGTGCGTGTGTCTGTGTTTCCCTGCTTGTCTGTTTGTGTAAGAGTCTGTTGACTCGGCGAGAGCTGCTGCTTCTAATTGTCCCGGAGCGTTTTTTCCACTTCGATCAGGCAGATGGTGGCTGATATAAGAAGAGTCTAATCTGGCCACATGCTTAATGTCAACTTTCATTTCACAGGCTCTTTGCAAATACCCTGACCTGTCAGGGTAGCTGGCGTTTGGTCTGTCGAGACACTGATGTTTGTAGAAAAGTTTGCAAAGGATGTCTTTAAAATTTGGGGAGGGTAATTTTATGAATATTTTTTGGTTGTAGCTTTGACACAGCAAATATTTGTATGTTTTACTGCTTGGCAAAATAAATGTAAGTCTATTACCCAGAAATGCAATTCCTTTCAACAGCCATAGAATTCGAATAAAGAAACACAATTGGATAGCAAAGTATAAATTTCCTCTCCAAGATCAAACTGAAAATTGGTAAAAGGAACCCTGCCAGGTATGGATTGTGTAGTCACCTCTATTTTGCCCCAGCAGCTTAGATTTAATCCCAAAAAAAAGCATCAGAAATGTATAATTTTTCTTTTTATTTTACAAATCTCAAGATCATTCTCAAACTGACTTTTGAGGAATTAATTTACAGCGTAGGGTAATTTAGTGAAGGTTTCCTCTTCACTTTGTGTATGAACAAGAAAAAAAAAACACTAGTCAACAATAAGATATTCTTATGTTGATTTAAATGCTACAAAGCAAATAGATTTATCCAGTCAAGACTTCATCCAGTCATATATTCAGCATTGTGCTTTCTCTGTGCACAAATGCTAAGGAGAACCCACTCCTCCCTGATGCGAAAGAAAAAAAAAAGATTTGCTTCACTTTAAAACAAATGCAGCACAAATATTGGATAAAGAAGAATGCAATGGATATCAAAGTGGACGTTCTTGTTTGTGATTGATTTCATTTTGCTTGGTTTGTCCAAAGTTTAGCCAAACTATAATCTTTTAGCTTTAACTTCTTGACTTTCGACAAAGAGTTAAGGTTTTCTTTATGCATTTTCTCTAAATGATTGTTGAAATTTGGTGTGTTTTTTTTCTTTTAATCCATTCCAGTCTGCTCCAGTTCTTTTTAACAAATGGATCCATAATTTTTTTTACGTTTTTGTCTAAAAAGTCTGGAGCCCTATGGCAGTACTCTGATCAGTTGGCTTATGCCTCCTGTTGTGTTTCCAAGAGACGTTCACAGAATACAAAACTTTGTTTTTCAGAAAAGTAGATTTTATCCGACAGCAAAATAGTGAAACAAGCTGACAATGAAACTTCAGTTTTGTGAGACAAATCAAATATCAAGCGCTAGATACAAAGTTTGTTTAAGCAATGGCTATCAGTATGTGATGATAACTCTGAAACTGGTTTTGGGATGCACTTTTAAATTGATTTCCTCTCCAACTGGAAGAGGATTAATACAGATTTACTATGTTCACATCTCAAGTCTTGCAAATATTCTTCAAAAGGACTATTGTATTATGTCAAAGGTCCCATTAATTAGTGTTGGTATGTGCAGAACAAGCTCCACACGGGCAAACAAAACTCAAACAAAGGAAATCCCTTCGGTTTTTTCAGAAATGGAAAATAACAATAGACAATTAAAAATTGCAGTGAACTGTAGATGGAAGTGCTCATAAAATGTCTTTGTGTGCCGCTTTTTAGAAATAACTTATGTGCTTGCTGGTGTGTCAGTCTACCCTTAGGATGTATTGACTGTAAGACACAACTATTCACTGATTTAATGATCTGAGTGGGTCTGTGTGTGGGTTTGTGTGTGTGTGTGTGTGTGTGTGTGTGTGTGTGTGTGTGTGTGTGTGTGCGTGTGTGTGTGTGTGTATGTGTGTGTGTCTCCACATGTATAGTTGGTTAGGTGTGGAGGAAATTTTAAGCACAAGAGCAGAGTGAAGATGTTCCTTAATGGAACAAAAATCAACTACGTTCATGTCAGTCTGGAGGCTCAGCTATAGCTAAAGTGACAGACTTAAATCTGCATCTAATGATTATTATTATTCTTATTATTATTATTATTTTTTTTTTCTTCCTCATCAGTGCCATCACTCTGGACAACACGTTGGTCATCCTGTCCACCGTGGCCCCAGATGCAGGACGGTACTACGCCCAAGCAGTGAATGACAAGAACGGGGAGAACAAAACCAGTCAGCCCATCACTCTCACAGTGGAGAGTAAGTGTGCGCAGAAAGCGACATACACTCACAGGCACTCAAGCGTACTTCGCAGTTAAGCAACAGACGTCTGCGCCCACGCAGTGAAAGACACTGCTAACCAGCAGATTGTTTGTGTCGCCAGCAGACTGCATCAACAGGCTGGCACAGATGAAAATGTCATTTAGAAAAACAGTTTTTATTTATCTCAGCTGAAGACGCACACACGCATTCATTTAATGCAGCAGCTCTAAAACAGGTGGTTGGTTTCCACCGCAGACAGTGGGAACAGAAATGGCCCCCTCTATCGGTGGGCTCTTTTGTCTTGTCCAAAAAAAATGTCAATCCCACCTGAATACCTGCAGCCTGATGTTTGTCCTCTTTTTGTCCTGCTGCTCCTCTAGTCTCTGGTTGTAAATTACTGGTTGTACAGCCACAACATTTCATCTATTTTATTTTGTAGACTAACGAAATATTGTGCAATTGTGAAGGATAGAGAAAAGTAAAATCGGAAAAGCATCCTGTATATTTGTATTCAGCCTAATTCAGTACTTTCTTGGATCAAATCTGGAGACGGATACTTTTGCCCTTCCTTTTTGTAAAATAGCTGAAGTTCAGTCAGACTGGGTGGAACGCTAACATAAACATCAAAAAGGCTCAAGATGAAATCCAGTCCCTCTTGGCTGCTTCCCTGGTTAACACAGGGGACAATTCAGGTAAACATGTTTTTAATAAATTACTATGTTTGCCTTGGTCTGTACTGACCCACCGTTCAGTAACCAGATTTCTGGAAATGACATAAAGCGAAGATTTAACAGAAGACTACACCCACACTGAAAAACTTCAGATTAGAAGATGGACCTCTGTTGCAAAACAAAGTCTGTAACTGCTTCGAATGAAATGTTGCGCCATTAGACCAAGCAGAGATGAAATTCCTAATAATTAGAGCCCAGTGGATGCTCGCCAATCCTTCCACCTACTGTCACGTTTTATCTAAACAAAGTCACACAGATTCTCACACTTGTCTTTTTTATCTGAATGAATCAATCTTTCTCTGCTTACCCCTCCAAGCCAATTAAAAGTTACTAAATATATCTTCAATCTCCCAAAAGGACAAGTTTTGAATGACTCAAATATCACCGCATCTCCTTGAAAATGTATGTGACAAGGAGTGCTGGATGAAGATTTTAAAGAGCTTGCATTAGGGCCTACACATTCTTAAAAACGCCTGTCTGCATCTGCTCTTCAGATGCCTGTAATAACGCGGCCTTTGTAAGTCAGTCAACGTGCGTGACACAGCAATCTGCCGGGACCAGAAATAGTTGAAATTCACCAAATCTGACCTTGCAGATCACGCCGTTGGATTTTTGCATCTTAAAGTCAATAAGCATTTCAGAGCAGCGTTTGTTCATTTCGGAAATTTCTGCAGAGAAAATACACACACGCACGCACACGCGCACAGACACAGGGAAAATCGGGAAAGAAAAGACAGCAAAGGGAGCATTGTGTTCTTGAGGGAGAATACAAATGAGCCAAAGCTGAGTGTCATAAGTAAAAACAAACTGGCATAACATAATGTTTCAAGTAGCAAGGCACTTTGTTTTGTTAGGTTTTATTCTTCAGATTGCGAAATACACCCGACATGACTTGGGTTTACACTTGTTTTTGGACTGTGACATATGTAAACAATGCTGTGACATTAGTAGCGAGGACTTGTTATGCAGGTCACTGTGTCGTTTAATTTTGCCATATAATTGGATGATTACACACTTGAGGTATTCTCAACACAGGGAGTTTATGAACTGCAATACATTAATTAGTTTCTGCAGGGAGCCAGTCGTGTCTTATGGGGGAAAAAAAAAACATTGCCGTTTTCTCACTTTGTAATGTTAGATAAGTAAACAACCACATTTTCTCTCAAATATAGCATTTATTATGTTAAGAACTAAAAGAAATCTAGTAGAAATCTTATCAGTGAGAATGCATTCAATGCATTCTCACTG